GGGTCCCTGAATATAGAATACGGACCCGAATAATTAATGCTAGATGCTTCTTATGAGCATTGACAAGAGTACGTTACCTTGTAGATGTATTATTTTAAGGTAATGCATCACTTTTTGAATCTGAAAACACTCCTTTCTTTTTTTAAAAGCACAATTAAGAGTTAATTGTTTTATGTCTAAAATGAATAGACAAAGAAAGAAGACACAGGCTTCTTATAATCATATTCACCATGTGAATAAACAATCAATCCATTAAATTATAAATTACATTTAAACAAGCCCCAAACAATTTGGTTAATATTGATGTAACGCTAATGACTTCCTTAGAAAGATCAGGCCATATGGTTGCTCCCTCAATTCTTCATGTTCTAGAAAGATGCATGAAAAGTCTTCTTGGATAAATTAGAACTGTTGTTGTTGTTGTTGTTATGTGCCATCAAGATGCCTGTGACTCATAGCGGCCCTGTGTACAACAGCTCTGAACCCTCTTGTATCCTGAGCCAACCTTATTGTCTCTGACACTCCTACCTCCATAACCCCAGCTAAAATAATCAATAGCCTGAAGCCTTCAAATTTTTCACAAAATCATTATGCAATTTTAACCTCCAAATTTACTTTTTGACTTTGAAAGAATTCTTTAAAAGCTGCTGTCTAAATTTTCAAGTGTGAACAAAAGCTTGAAAAATAATACATCGCCATTATTATTATTAGTCTAATGATTGTTATTGTCATATGCCAACTAATACATAGCTGCCCCTCCAGCAAATTTTTAGAGCCTGTAAATAAATAGCAATGGAGGAGATTGCTCATCTTTCTCCTGCTTAGGAACTGGTGTATCAAGACCACAGGCCTTTGGGTTGGCAACACAACTCCTTACAATTAAGCCACTCGTTATTGTAGTTGTTGCTGTCAGATGCCATCAAGTATGAGCCTATGCACAACAGATCTGAACTGTGTTGGATCTTCTTCCATCTCCACAATCTCTGAAACACTCAAGCCCATTGCTCCAGTGACCCACCTAGTTTAGGGTCTTCCTCTTCCTCCTGAAATCCCAAATATTTATTACTTATTTTTGTGCTATTTGTAAATAATTAACAATATATGCTGTTTACACTAGGATAATAAGATAATCAAAGATTATTGTCCTTTAAGCACAGTAGATACTTCTTGATAATTTTACCTTCCCAGAAGGATAATTCATATGATATTAGCCTTTGGTGCAGATAGGCAAGTTTAAGAATAACAATTTCCCTTATTTAGTATTTTTTTTATTGTAGAAATTAAAGTTTCATGCTAATATCACTAAAGCTCAGACAACAAAGCAAAGAATAAAGTTAATTGTTCTACCATTACTGACCTTGAAGCTGTCCATTTCTTTGTTTTACTCCCTAACTTTCTTTACTTTTGCTTCATATAATCACTGTATAGGGAAAATGTGACTCACACATATGCTTTGTGAAAGACTGGATGCAAGAACGTGGCTATCCAGAAATCACAGGGCATATCTTCACATTTTGGCAAATCTGCTGCAGAAGTCTTCTTTAGAGTGTTAAGAACTGAAAATGCTACTATAAAAAGTAAGGTGCAATTGACTTAAGCCATAGTGTTTTCTCACTCCAGTGAAAGCAAATTTTGTCTGGTCATTCAGTGTATTTTCAGAAATTGCAAACTGCATGAAGGAGACCGTTGATCTTTCTCTGGAGGAACCACTGGAAGACTCAAACCGCCGGAGATGTGTCACCTTTCAGTTATTAAATGCAGTGACTATGCAACCAGAGCACAGTAGCCTTACATGCGTGTGAAAGCAGACCAATGGATAATGACGACTGAAGAAGAACTGATTCATTTGAATTGTGATGCTGTATCATAGATTTTGAGAGGAACAAACAAATATGACTTGAAAGTACAGTCAAAATATTTTTTAGATGTGTGAATGGTCAGATTTCTTACCAAGTACTTTCTTTGCACATGTAATGAATTAGAAGGGATCAGTCCCTGGAGAAGCACATGTAGAGTTGGTCAAGCCAAGGGCCAGCAAAAAGAGGAAGACCCTCAATTAGAGGGTTGACACAATGACTTTAATATGGGCTCAAACACAACCAGAGTTGTGAAGATGGCACAGAATTATGTTGTGCTGCCTTCTTTAGTATACAGAGTCATCAGGAATCAGAACAAACTCAACAGCATTTAAGAACAGCAAGCAAATCAACTGTGTCTCCTTCGCACAGCTTGATGTGTGACTTGAACAGCTTGATAAGATTATAAAGTGAGATGGAGTTAAATAACGAGATGAAAATAGCAAGAGAGTTTGTTTTCTTTGTTCGCTCTTAATGAGCCAGTGTCAAAATGGCTAAGTGCTCAAGCGCTAACTGCAATGGAAGTAGTTCCAACCCACCAGCTGCTCTGTAGAAGGAGGTGGCACTTTGCTTCTGTAAAGATTTGCAGCTTTGGAAACCTGCTTGGCAGTCCTCCAGGTATTCTACAGTCTCTAAGAATCCAGACCCACTCAAGGGCGGTCAGTGGGGTTTTCTTCTCTTTTGTACAATTCTTTCCTTCTAAAACTGGTGTTTCTATTTTCAATATACCTCAATACACATTTGACAATAAACATACATATGAAAATTAATAAGAATTAAAATTACCTTAGATGGTGCTTTGAAATAAAATTCTACTAGTTAAATATGGTTCATAACAATGAATCAATATTACAATATTACTTGGCTACTTCTTATTCTGTAGAATAAAAGAACCAGTGAATTTATGTGTAATAATGAAAATATATACCATTTGGGCTCTTAAGAAAAAACCTACTGAAAGCTTCCACATCCAAAATCCATAAAAAAGAGTATCGACAACACCACTCTATCACATGACTCTCAAGCTAATGATCTGGCTCCTTCCATGGAATACATTTTTTTTCTGTTAAGAGTTGGGAAACAGGTTATTATTGTAATGCTAAAGAATTAGAAATGTGTACCATAACCTTTCCTTAGAGTGTAAAAAAAAAAGAAAGGCTTATCATGCCAACCAAAGAAAATTTCATTTATTGGGAGAAAAATTGTCAGTAATATTACAGGACAAACCTTCCTGTCTTAAAAATTCCAGCCCTTCATTTTTGATATAGTAGGAGTAATGACAAACTCTTTCAGCCTTGGATTCAAAGGCAAAGTGAGGCTTGACTGGCATCATATTTCTTGGGACTTAGCCATAGTACTAACTTTAGAAAAAGTCTGAAACCAGGTCTTTAAACGATCATTTCTTTGTCTTGTTTTTTTCCCCCCTATTCCATTATTTAATCCACTCAAAGTCATAATGTAGGTAATCTCCAAGTGTTAGTAAAAGCTCCTTGAGAATTTGTTACTAATCTCCACATAATTAATATAAAATTCAAAAGAGAATAATCACCACAGCTAGAATAAAAGATCCACCAAGAATGGAGATCATGTTGGCCTTTTCCTTCTCTTCCTCTTTCTGGCATAGAACAGAGGAAAACAAATGGTGGGATCACTATACTTACTGAAAGAGCGTATGACTCTACTTGGTTATATAGTCAACTTCTGAAAACGTTTATGATACACTTTTTATTTCAGTCTGAAAGTCTCTACAACACATCTACCAACAGTGAATAAACTATCTAAAGTATTTGTTTTTCAGTTGTTGGTATTAAACAGGTTTTAAACTAGTGGTAATGTTAGTAATTTTTCCTGCAAGGTCCAACTATGTTCTGAGTAAATATAGGGTTTGGAGAAGGAATATTCCACTATTTTATGGGATTGTTTCCTTAAATACATAAGGATTGGATCATAGTTTGAGCGTTTAGAGTTATCTTCCTCCTTTTATCTTCTGAATAAACAAATGTCATGAATAAGAAGAAGGAGGAGGAAGATGTGGAGGAGAAAAAAGGGAAAGAAGAAAGAAAGAAAAAATTGGGGGGCAGGGGAAATGAAGAAATTAAAAAGATAAAAAGGAATCTGCTTCCATGTAAACTAAGCTCCTCTCCTTTTGGCCCATTCACCAGGCTTTCAGACATCTGAAAATTTATCTTCTGAGGGAATTGCTCTGGAATTCGTAGGCCAAATTTTTCTAAGAGATAATTAATCAGAGCTTGGGATGTTAGGCTAAAGATAAATGCTACAAGAAGCTAGCAAATATTTCAGTGATGTTTTGTTAGAAATATTTCCTTTGAGATCTTCTGAATAATGTAAACACTTGGAAGATGTCAAAAACAAAACTAACACCCAGAGATTTAGGGCATATTTTGTTACTTGAAAGACAAATTTTTCTTCTAAGATGTTACTTGTTTTGCTTCTGATAGCAGCATACTTTACACTTTAGTAATGTTGGAACTGAACTCTGTTATCTGAGTTAAGTCAAGAACAGAGAGATTCTTCAGATTCTGTTGGTATCTAATGATTCTTTAAAGCAAATCACTGAAGCCTCTTCCTGCAATTAGACAACATAAAACATTGTTTTGTTTCATATTTCATTTCATAGATGGGGAAGCATGATGTCCAGAAAGATAAAATGTAATTTGTCCAAGATTGCCAATGGATGGATCCTGCAATTAAAGAGGAAAGCTTCCTCACCTCACCTCAATGCTTCTTTTTCAAATTGTGATGTGAGAGAAGGTTTACAAAGCATATTGGCTTATTACTCAGTAATTCATATACATTTTGGGTTAGACCATTAATTACATTAATTATCATACGCACAATGTCCAATTATGCTCTTGTTGTACATTGTCTTTCGTTGTACCCATCTGAATAATTATCCATTAGCTATTTATTAATTTTTATTTCCTTATCCTACCAAGAATCTTGGTGTCTATCCAATCTCTTTCAATTCTTCTATTTCCTTTGCTTCTCATTATATGTGGCACTTTCTCTTGTCTTTGAATTACAGAGATTCAAACTGAAAATGCTAAAAACAAAGACCCTTATAGCATCCTTTTTTCAAGAACAAAACAAACCAGGGAGGCAAAGACTCTGGGGACCACTCACCCAGATCAGAACACTGGACTACTCGGAGATGACATTGGCAGCGGAAAGGACACACGGGTCCCATAAGCTCATATTCAGTAATCTCAGGAACTTTCTCTTCAGGAGCTAACCCAGAAGCCTCTTCGTCTAGCATAAAGTCAAATAAGCCTTTCTGTTGAAATGGTCCTGCCCAGGAAACTTGAGCAAGCAGGAAAAAGATGAGAGTTGCCTTCATGGTTTATCTCATTTATTTTCACAGCCAGGGAATCTAGGAAAGAAGTAAAACATTTATGAAGAATGATGCTACATGCCCCATAGGAGAATGAGTATAGAGAAAAAGAAAAAGAAAACAAAACATGTTTTCATTTATTATTAGGAAGCAGAACAATAAAAGTACTTTTGAAAGGGGATGCAGTACACTAGAAACATAATGGCTCAGCTATAACTTATGAAGCAAACTTGGATTGTTATTGAATTCTAATTGTCATCATGGCTCTGAATTCTAACAATATATTTTTATATCATTTGTGAAACTGTCATGATAGTAACAACGGTGGACTTGGGATGCTTATTTAACAGAAATTATGCCACAGAAACCAAGTTCTTTCTATACACATGGCATAGCCCAGCTTCTGCTTCAAGAAATATCTCTGGAAACCAAGATCAATTCTCCAAACTTCAAAAATCAAATTCTCTTTAATGTTAACTGATCATAATTACATAGGGTAGAGTACAATCATGCCTCAGAAGGAAGTTTTCTAAGGCTATAAACCTTTGTGAAAGTACAGTGCTACATCGTTCTTCCTAGAAAACTGGTAGGTTTCAATTGTGAACCATTCTGTTAGCAGGTAGGTGTTTTAACCATCTCATCAGCAAGGCCCCTATCACATATCCCCATCTCATTGCAGTAATCTGGGTACAGGCCTTTCTCGTAATTCCCTGAATTATCAGAGTTTCCAACTAACAACTAATTCAGTTGTAAATGTTCCATCTTCTCTACTTCATCTTCCACTTTGCTGCCTAGTAGTAAGTTTTTAAAAATCAATTTCATCTTACTAATAATATCTTCTATTAAAAACATTTGATTGCCTTCCCATGGCATTCTTATAACAGTCAATCTCCCTAGGTTACATGTAACCATTCAGAGTTTGGTGCCAAGTTGAATTTCTATGCACTTTCTCTTTTTCTCAGCACTCTCAAACTCCATCCTAACCCTGATAGCCAACACTAATTGCTATAACAAACACATACCTTTTAAAGTGTGATAGAGAATAAGATACCTAACAAGTCTTTTTGTTTTTATTCCTCCACTTACCCAGGTGAAGAGGTTGCTCTCTTCCTCTTCTGTGTTCCCAAAGTATGTTGCTCTTACCTCTTAAAGAACTTATCACATAATTTTGTAATTTGTTTTTGCGTGCTTGGTCTGTCCCCCCAGTAGGAAATGTACTCATCCAGGGCGTGTCTTATTATTTTTTGTTCTGTATCCGGACCTTGCATAACATCTTGCACATAAGTAACTCAACTGAACATCAATTTATTAATAATATAATTTATTAAATTTATTCCAAAACAACCAATAAATAAAATATACACACTCCTCCCACCCCAAGAAACCTCCACAAAACATTCTTTTTGCAAAATCTAAATCTTCAGAAAAAATATAGTAAGTGAATAGGAAACCTTAACAACCTGATTTAAAACAAGATTAAATTGTTAAAATGATTGACTTGTTTCTCCACAATTTAAATAAGGAGAAAAGAATATCTGAGACAATTATAGTTTATTATCATATGATTTATATGGTTTTACTTATTGGGCTATTTTGTAAAGAGGAAGCAAACCTAAACACTTGGATTTATATATCCATATTATGTAATGGATCAAGTAATATGCATTCCTTTACAAACTTATAATTCTACATTGTTGAGGTGATGTTGATATCACCAACTAAAGTAAATGTTTTATTTTCTTAATAATCCTTCATAAGAAAAAAAAATTGAGCCTGTAAAGAAGAAGCAGGCTATTTTTAAGATGATCTACTTTTAAATTCTTTTCAAACTGTTCTAAGTATCAAAACATACTATAGGCATGAATTGCCTTTGGTTTCTTCTGTATTTTTGATAATACACTTAAGTGATTCTACACTAAATCTGCACATTTGTAATAATAATTAAATCCAAGTTTTAAATCACTATCCAATGTCTTATAAAATGTAAAAAAAAAAAATTAAAAAAATAAATCTAGCCTAATCTTAATGTGTCTGAACCATTTTGCTCAGACCCACTGGAGATAAATATTGGTCCATTTTTTAATGTTTTGTTCTTTGTTTATAATTATTACAGAGTACAGGTTGATGGTTTTATAAAGTACCTTGCATATCATTGCTCAGACTAGTACTTTAAACTGAATATCAAGTTCTCTCAGGATCCAATCCTCGGCCCCCCTCCTCCTCCATGACTGCATTGCCCTTTAAGAGGAGAGCCTATTGTTTTGGCCTGGCAGGATTTACATGGATTTGATCTAAGGGAATGGTTTTCTGTCTGTTCCACATTAAAATGCAATATTTATGGTTTACCACAAGTTTGCTGGCTTTGCATATTTAATATATTATAATTTTAGAAGGAAAAATGAAGCAAAGTAATAACAGATTTAACAAACAGCAACAGGAGTTAAAACAGAGTAGAAAATGCCTGATTGGTCCCTAACAACCCAAGAAAAGAAATACTAAGCATTAGCCTAGGGGGATATTATTATTTATATGTATTTTCTCTCAATAAAATATTGCAAATTCTCTGCACACAAAGGCAGCTAAAAGCTTCAGTTACTTCTTTTACAACCACTTTCATTTAAGAGGGTGTGCCCGTGTGTGTGTGTGTGTGTGTGTGTGTGTGTGGCAGAGATTTCAACTCAAATACCCTGGGGAAGAATAATAACTTGTCTAGAAACTTTATACAAATTCCTGTACGAAATAACTTCCTTGCAATTAGTGTCATGATGACTTGAAATCTCATAATATTGCAATTAATGTGCACATCTCATCATCATAATTTCTTTAATCTTTTCCTTCCCTCCTTAATATGTCAGAAAACAACTATACGACCACTCAGCTGCAGCTGTTTATAAAGAAACCAAGGTGTCTTTTTTAAAAAAAATGCATACTTTAAAAAAATTCCATTAAACTGCTTTAAATATTCTTTAACCTTAACTCCTTCCAAACCCTAATTGCTAGTATAATACTGCTACTTCACTAAATGAAGTTGACCATAGTTTATATATTATTTCAATAAGAATAATTTATAGCTCCTAAAACGACATCAGCCCTTTAAATTAACTTCATCATTGATATCAACATTTATAAGAAGTCATTTATGGTTTTGGTGTGAATTTTTATTTTTGGTATATAACCAAATATGAAAATGACAAGAAAATGAAAAATATCTCAGTACAGGGTAAAAGAAAAGCAAAAAAACCCAGAATTAATATTTTAAAAAACCCAGAATTAATGAAGATATTAGGAACAGGAGTAGCATTTATTCATAAATTGGGACTGCTATAGGAGGCATTTAATTCCTTTTTTTCTTGGCAAAACAGCAAGAGGGGGTAAAAAGCCACAGGTATTTACATACTGGGAGCCCACTTATTCAGTGGTCATCCAGCAACCCTGCCTTGAAATTAGAAAGAAAAATAACCCACATCCTCATTTCATGCATCTTTTAATAAAACTTCATTTGCATTAAAAATGCTGACATTGTTGCTTCTCTTTAGATTTGTGGAATTATTCTGCTTTCTGTAAGAATAGCTTAGTTAGGGTCTTAGTATTCAGTGAGGTTCCTAAAATTCATTCCCATATCTCTTGTGATAGTTTCTGTTTGTTTTTTTTCTAGGTATACAGAAACACACCTTAGATCTAACACTGCTAATCCTAACAATTCCCATCTCTGAGGTGTTAAAGGTTATAAAAAAATACACAAAAATTCAGGAAGGAAAGGAATCACTACACAAATAATCAAGCTATGAATAGTTTGCTAGTCTAGAGTTTTTCTGTTAATATTTTCTCAAGATTTAAACAGTTCATTAATATAAATCCAAAACGTATCAATGTAGATAGTCATGGTGTCCTGTTACAGTTTTTTAATAAATAGCCTTACAAGAACAGAAACAGGGGGGAAATAAAACAATGCAGTTATTTTACACAATATTAGCTTGTTTTCAAGAAAAAACTATTTAAAAAAAAATGCTACATAAAAATCATTGATAGTTTAGTACCATATTCTTTCCCCCTCCCAAATCATACTTTTTTTACTCCCAACTCAAACGTAGTTTTATTAGTCTGTAGCAGAGTTCAGGACAATTATTGAAAATCATACCTTTTAATCCGGGGATTTGCCACAGGAGCCCTCAAAGCTGAGATGTAATTACACTAAATATTCAGCCCAGGCAAAAGAGTTTGCAGGTGTGGAAAGGAGGAGGGGGTTAGGTGCTGCTCTGTGACTGTCACTGGGTTGAAAACCTCCTGCTTCTACTCCATAGCACACTGAAAAAAAAAAAAAGGTTTCCCTCAGTGAACACAATCCGGCTGACACCCACATTAGATCATATGGTAATGATATGTCTCTTGTACCGAAGCCAGAAACTTTATCGGTCTACCCCTTCTCCCCCTTTTTGCTTTATTCCTTTTGCATCTGTTTAAGATTCTAAACTGCTTATGTAGTGAAGTGGAGTGACTTGCCTTAAAATGTGTCACATTCTTTTGATTCATTTCCCTAAAAACAGTGTAACTAAAAGGTTTGTTTCCCCACCCCCAATCCACTCCACCCTCCACTCTTTCTTGCCTTGTTCCTTAAGAAACACGTATCATACTTCCCAAAAAGCAAATTTTCTTCCTAGGATGTTATATGTCCAGCAAATAGAATGAAACTCATCATGTAGTTGTTTAAAATGTGTTTTACAAAAGGAAATGAGTACCCTTCTGTGAAAATGCTCATTTGGATTCTTAACTTGCTTTGGGATATTTTTTTTTTTTAACAAATCAGAGAACTGAGCCCCAACAGAGATTTTCCGTCTATATTTCTACTATTTTTCTAAAGTGTTCTGGAACAAAGCCATGATTTTATATGAAAAGCATGTCACATATTATTTTTGTTACTCATAGTTTAAAACCTCTTTTATTGCCCTCTGTGTTTTTTTCTTTGCCTTTTGTTGCTGTTTTTGTTTTATTGTTGTTTTAAATAAAATACACAGATATAAGAAGCTTACACAATTAAATTGAACCTGTATTTGTAACATTTACTTTTCCTTTACTTATGCGCAATCTAGAATTTTAAAACCAAAAGAAAACCCCCAACCTTTCATTTTCTGACAGTTTCTAGATTTCACTAAATGAGGAGAAAGAACACAAATACAAGGAAAGCATATTTCATGTTTTTTAATTCTCTTGCTGGGCCCTTAGTTCTCTCTGTTAAGTCCCTGTTTTAACTTGTATCTTTCTGCTCTGGCCCCAAGGCTGTTACCAGGTGGAAACTTGAAATCAACATCTGTGAAACATGAGAGGTTACCCCCCCCCCAATTGTTCACCCTTTCTCCTTCCTTTCCTGTCACCATCTAACTCTACACTTTTACAGTAAATGATGCAGTCAATGATCTGTGGCCTTGATGAAACTTGAAAGAATTGAATTCTTGAGTGGGTGTTTAAAGAGAGGAGGGGAGGTGTCACAACATTGTATTTTGCCTTCTTCCTCTCTTCCTTTACCAGCTCTCAGGGTTTGAACAGATTTGTTTCCTTGACATCCCAAATTCAAATTTTAACTCACGTTGTTATTTTGTTATGCACCCTCTAGTTCAAGACGACTGTAACTCATAGTGACCGTATGAGGAATATGAACTCTGCTCTGTCCTATGCCACCTCACCCCCACTGACATACTCAAGCCCATTGCTATAGTCACTAAGTCAATCAGTCTTCTTGAGAGTCTTTGTGTGCTCATCCTCCACCTTTTTCAACTCTTCCTCCTTCTTGTGGGCCATCAAGTCGGAAGCAACCTACCATAGCTGACCCTGTTTTAGAGGCAGCAAGTTGTAAGGGAGAAGATTGTCCATCCTCCTTCTAAACAGCAGCTGGTGGATTCAGAACACTTGCCTTTGGGACTGCAGCCCAGCTCCTGAACACTAGCCCACCAGAGCTCCCTAAATGTGTTGTCATTGTACCCCAGAGAGCTTTCAATGTCTTCTTTTTATAATAGATCACCAAACCTTTCTTTTTAAAATTATGACCAAGTGACAATTGTTTTTTAGACTATATGTTTGTGAAGGGACAACGCCCCCCAAAAATAAAGCCCATAAATATATCCATTCCTATTCAATCCAAGAAAGAAGGATTAAGTCCTAAAAAAACCCCAAAGACTCTTATAAACTTAAGTTACAAAAGTGATCAGGGAATTGTCATTAGAATCCAAGTCTCATGAAATCTAATATAACATGGAACAATTTTGATGCTGAAATTAGTGATTTTATAGAAAATGTGAAAATCTATCCTGGGACAGTATCACTGTTCACTGAAACATTGGCTGCCATAGAGACATCTGAAATATTCGAGCATATCCCACATCTACTGTTAAAACCACTTAAACTGTGATTTCTACCAACAACCCACTAGCTAACAGGCTAAGTATAATCTTCATCTTGTCAAAGTTTATTTCAGGGCTAGTCATTCTTTCTCACCATCATCAAAGACAAGTGATTTACATTGTACCTGCACATTAAGGATGTGAGGAATGCCAGAGCTCAGAAAGAGCTCCTTCTGACACTCTCATTTTCTAAGAGGTCTGGAAGCAATGATTATCTTTACAACCCTGATGTGACTGCATTATTCTTAGCTCGACTCCTCAAATTCAGGTCAGGGGCTGGGATGAGTGTCTGGCTTTGTGTTTTGCTGTCATAGACAGATTTCTTCTTTAGCCACAAAAGACGAATAGTCTGCAATCCAAGGCAACTTTGAATGGTTTAAAATACAGTTGGGTAGTAAACATTTTTCCCCCCCTTGGCAATATTCTTTCCACATGCATCTACCCAGTTCCTTTTCCTCAACCCATCACCACTGAACTGAGCATTTTAATATTGGTCCCTGTTCCTTAATTCTACTCTTCTATTTCAGATACCATATTTTACATAGGGCAGTGGTGTATATTTGTGATTATTGTTACTGAACTATTCCATGATAGATGTAATTCAATTGAAAGTATCTACTAATCACTTAGGCATTAATATATATATATATATATGTATGTGTGTATATTAATGTATGTGTATATATATGTATGTGTATGTGTGTAAATATGTATGTGTGTATAAAATGCAACTTCTCCCCTACTTTAAGAGACAGAATAAATGAATTGAGAAAAGGATCTAAGTTGCTGTAGTGGTCAAAGTGATTGATTCCCCAATCAATATACAATCTGTTCTAAACAATTCACCTAGTCAACTCTTACTACCGTTTTTCCTTCTATAATTAATTAGAGAGGGTGTACTACTGGATGAACTTGGCAATTGGAGTCATGAGAGGAAGTCAGATAATTATATTTTGTTGAATTGATACCTAAAGAAGAGATGACACACTTTAGTCTTACTTGAAAGACATGGCAAGCATGAGTTCATGTGTACTTATTTACTAATCTAGGCAGTTGTCAGAACAGAACAAGGAAACGCTGTATGGTTCAAAATTGGGAAGGGTATATGCCAGGGATGTGTTCTTATCTCCATACCTTTTCAACCTGTATGCAGAACAGATTATCTGGGAGGCTGGGCTCTATGAGGAGAAATGTGGCATCCGGATTGGTGGACGATCTATCAACAATCTGCGTTATGCAGATGACACAACCCTGCTCGCTGAAACTGAGGAGGACTTGAAATGCTTGCTGCAGAGGGTCAAGAAATGTAGCCTTCAATATGGATTCAGGCTCAATATCAAGAAGACAAAGATTCTCACCACCGGACCAATAGGTAGCATCAGGATGGATGGTGAAGAGATTGAGATAGTGCACCTCTTTCGTTTGCTTGGCTCCACAGTCAACACTCTTGGCATCAGTAGCCAGGAAATTAAAAGACGTATTGAGATGGGAAAGTCTGCTGTTAGGGACCTCTCCAAAGTACTAAAGAGAAATGGTGTCACTCTGGAGACTAAGGTGTGTCTGATACAGGCCATGGTCTTTGCAATCACTTGTTATGCATCAGAGAGTTGGGCAATGACTAGGAAGGATAGAAGAAGAATTGATGCCTTTGAGCTGTGGTGCTGGAGAAGAGTATTGAATGTACCAGGGACTGCTAAGAAAACAGATTCATCCTGAAGAGGGTTAAACCAGGCTGCTCCTTGGATGCAAGGATTTTGAGGCTTTGTCTGACATACTTTGGACATGTTATAAGGAGGTACAGGTCCTTGGAGAGGGACATCATGCCTGGGACGGTGGAGGGACAGTGCAGGAGAGGAAGGTCTCTATGAGGTGGATTGATTCAGTGACTGGGGTAATCGGGATGGGTGTGTCAGAGACAGTATGATTGGCACAGGACAGAGCAGAGTTTAGGGCTGTTGTACATAGGGTCAGTATCAGTCACAAGCTACTCGACGACACATAACAACAACATGGTGAGCAGTCACATATTTTTCACCAGAGAATGAAATTATTGCAGATTGGTAAGTAAGCACATGAAAGTCCATGTTTACCTTTCTTCTTGTTTATTTAAACCCTCTCTAGGATTGTGAATTTGAAAAGAGGTTTTGATTCTGTAGAAAGGATTAAGAGAGGCATAGATGCCAAACATACCTTGAAGCAAAATCTTTGATGTGGCTGAAGGAAGGGAAAAAAAAAGGAGAGAACTTGTTCACTGGAGATTAGTAAATAAGAACGATAAAGGCAGAGTTGACTTTATTTTTTGGCTAGTCTGGCACAGGCTGTATGTTTGTTTGGGATTTTTTGCCCTCTGAATATTTTTATAACTCAGCCTGATGATTGGAACTTCTGTAGTTGACATGTGATGAGGAGGAGTCATGGATCTAAAAGAGAAATAATCCAAGAAGAATTAAAAAATAAAATGAGGTGGCATTTTTTAGTCACTAAATAGGCTAGTTATTAAGGATGTTTGCCATTAATTTTGTCATTCTAATTGACTTCTAACCTGGGCTTTACCTCTAATCCTATAGCTATTCATGTTTCTCTACTGTTCATAGGGTTTTCAGAGGCCTGCTCTTGAAGAAGTGGATGGTATATCTTGCTTTCTTAATCTATCTTAATCTGGGAATTCTACTAAAACCTGTCCACCATGGGTGCCTGTTGTGGCATTTGACACACCAGTGGCATAGCTTTCAGTATCACAGGAACCCACAAATTAACACAGTACAGCAAACCAACTGCCATACTAGCAGTTGCTATACTAGATAACTGCTATACTAATTAGATCTATGTATGTATTCCCCAAAACAACAAACTGACAATTTAGTGCCGTACCTCTAATAGCAAATCAGGCATCCCCGTGGATCGACAGGAATCCACAATCAACACCATTGGAACCAGCAATGAAGAAGTCAGGAGACATTTCACTGAGAAAGTCTTCAGTCAAGGACCTCTTTAATTTATTGAGGGGCAATTATGCCAGTTTAAGGACTAAGGTGCATCTGATTCAGGCCATAGTCTTTCTAAACACTTGCTATGTGTCTGAGAGCTGAACAATGAATAAAGATGACAGAAGAAGAATTGATGTCTTTGAACTACA